GCGATTGGAAATTTTGGAGGTTAGAGACGCAATGTGTCTCGTCGTNTGGCGTCTCTAGCCTCCCAAACTCTAAATGGACGTATCTCGGCTCCCAGATGAGCTAGAGCAGAGCTCTTTTCAGCTATTTCAAGCTCACCTGCTGCGTGTGAATCTCGGAGAAGTGCATTCCCAGTGCGGCTCTATCCATAAACATTCCACACCATATACACTGCAAATTGTTCTGATCAGTTTCCGTGGACACCACAGCAAAGTCGTGAAGGCTCAACGGGTGTCTGGCTCCGGGATTCGGCAGTGCTGCGACCTCTTTCCACTCCTGGGAACAACGATGCTCCGCCGGATGCCACGCGTTGAAGTGGCGGACGAGGTGAATGACCTCGAACTTCTTGTTCAACGACACCACCGCTTGACATATGTCACATCTGGCGTGAAGGCGGTCCACCAGGGATACCGGCACTTTTCTGCCCATCTTTTCGATCAGCTTTCGTTTGAGCGCCGTCTCCAGTTGGCTCATCGACATCTCGTTGACATTCACTCGGATTTGCGACACTTTTCTCATTTGTCGCAAATTTCGAGTATAGAGACGTGGCGCGCCGCCGAATCCGGCTGACGAGCCAATCTGATGTTGGTGCGGATCGTCATAGTTGCGGAATCCGTTTTCCAGAAATTTCGATTCGCGTTTCAGGCGATCCTGGAATACGCGAGAGGATTGGATTTTCGTGTAGGTTTTCTAGTTTGCCTATTTTGCGCCTAAAAATAGCCTATTTTCAGCCTAAAAAGGGCCTATTTGAGCTTGAAAATAGCCTGTTTCAGGCCTAAAATTGGTCTATTTGAGCCTAAAACAATCCACAAAGCCTAGAAAAAAGTCTATTTTAAGCTTAAAAATTGACTAATTCAGACTAGAAATCGACTATTTTTAGCCTAAAACTTGGCCTATTTGAGCCTAAAACAGTCCACAAAGCCTAGAAAAAAAGGCCATTTTTAGCCTTACAAATGGACTTATCTAGACTAGAAATAGCCTATTTTAAACCTGAAACTAGCCTAGAATTTTAGAATGGACTATTAAAGATGCTCAAAAATGGCCTATTTTGAGCCTAAACTAGACCTATTTTAAGCCTAAAAATAGCCTATTTGGACCACTCGGTTCGGTTTAAAGCCTAGTTTTCGGCCCCCCCCCCCCCATGTCCCACCGCCACCACAAACCTTCAACCAACTCGTATAGGGAATCTCCTCCAACTGCATCTCCTGTGACTGATATTCGGGATGGGCGTGTGGCAGATGCTCGGTCAGCAGTTTATCGTAGTCAACTATCTCACCGCACAGACCACAGCACACTTGATTCGTGTCCAGGAAACTGCAACTGTTGATGAATTCCACGTTCGCGGCGCGGTCCGACGACGATGAGGGTACTGTAGTTTGTGTACATTTTAGGTGGAAATTTGGTCAATTTAGGCTGATTTTCATTACTTTTTGACACATTTCAGCCTAATTGGCGCCTTCATTGGCCCATTTCAGCCTAATTTTGGCGATTTTTGGCCGATTTCAGTTCAATTTGAATGAATATTTTTTTTGAATTTCTAGGTCATGACCTAGTTTTTTGGATTTCTAGGCCGTGATCTAGCTTTTTTTGGTTTTTAGGCCAAACTTGGATTTCTAGGCCATGACCAAATTGTTTGGGTTTTTCGGTCATCATCTAATTTTTTTTGTTTCTAGCCCAAATTTGAATTTCTAGGCCAAATTTTAATTTTTAGGCAAAATGAGGATTTCTAGGCCATGACCTAGATTTTTTTGAATTTCTAGGTCATGGCCTAGTTTTTTGGGGTTTTAGGCCGAATTGATTTTCTAGGTCATCATCCTTTTTTGGGTTTCTAGGTCACGACCTAAAAGGGTTTTAACGTGGTGGCCT